TATCTAGATATATTCCTTGAATTCGTAATGACCAGGGATATATGGGATAACAAGCGCTATAAATAACCAAAGAAAACCATGTCAAGTATGAACTAAGGGCAGACCTATCCTCCTAGCAAACGTTCTTAGGATCTTTCAGGCGAAGTTTCTATCCGTGTGACTAACAGTTGGTTCTCGTACTCTCGACAGCAGTCGCGTTGTAGTGCTGCGCCGTTTGTTGTTTCACGTCTCAGTTTCGTTCTAGACGCGATCGAAGCGTGTGTTAATTTATTTTCGAGGCGGCTAAGTGTCAGTAGATTTAGCTAAGAGCTAATTAGGGAACATAACCAACTAACCACTAACCTTCAACTCTGAGCCAAGTGGAAGATACAACCATGCCCCAGTCGTTTTCAGCARCACATTGGTAAACACCTTCATTTTTTGCTTTTACGTTTTTGATCAACAACCTATAGRCAAAATGAAAACGAAGGGAAGATTGGGAACGAGCACCACAAACAATCAATGATTTCAAAAATAAGATTTTCATTAGAGAGTTCTGTTGTCATAAATTAAATCCCTGCACAGTTATGAGCATTTGGAATGTACTGAAATCATGATAGCGATAGCGAGGCTGGTAGGCCCTTGGTCGTTGTTTCCATATAGAACTTTCTAATTTCAAACAGCTGTAGATTTTTGTCATTTAAAGTTACTACACTGAAATCACGGAAGATCACTAATTTCAATATACTCTTTCTAATGAAAGCAATGTTGTCTTCTATAACGGATGAACTAAGGTATCTCAATTGCCACACCTTCCATGTTGTTTATTCCCATCCACCATACTGGTGTTTTGAGCCCTAGGAAAGATAATGAAAAAAGATATAAGGTTTGTTTCATTTAAGGGTCTCTGTCCTTTCATGGTTCCGAGAGGCAAGTGGGTTACACTGCTGCCTAAAGACAAATCATGTACTTAAATGAATGAGTAAATAAACAAATGAATGGATGATGGACAGGCTGTCCTTTCATGGTTCCGAGAGGCAAGTGGGTTACACTGCTGCTACAAGCTTTCTCTTTTACAACTTACAATTCTGTGTCAGATGTGAATTCCTTGCCATTGTGATACCACTTGTACTTGGGTGAAGGAGTGCCAAAGGCTTGACAGAATAAGCTAACATCACCAAGAATATTAATTGTTTTTATCCGAGGAGGTGTCACAATCCACGCAGGGGGAACTTGTTATTGAAAAACATATAGGAACAATTAAAATTGAGAACAACATTTATAAGACTGTACATGTGTACGGGGCGTAGCGATGTCTCTGTCATACGGGAGGCAATAATGTACATTTCCCAGTCAAAACGCACGCGTACGCGCTTCATCTTTAGAATTTCCCGCCTTATCCCGACGTTTTGGGAGTGTGATTACCCCACTTTCCCCTTCTCTCTCGCTAAGCCACTGGTTAGTTTCCGGGTTTTTTTTGTAGAGTAGGCTTTCTAGCAGATGAGCATGAACTGATTAATGTGTGATACATCTAACACTGTGTAGTCGGATCAGTGAATATTGGCCTAGGCTGGAAGCTGTAGAGCATGAAAGAAGCTTAGGAACCCATAACCAAGTATTTCTCTCTTGCTTTCTGTTGACAGACTCCAAGGTTATACACATRCATGGGTGTATTTATCGTGTACTTCATAACTGGCTGACAATGCAGCCCATTGTTGGCAGATCGTTTGTCTACACTTCAATGGCCGACTCCACTGCTGTCCAAGGACAGTCGGCTAATTATCGATGAACACGGGACAACCGGTCATAACGTACGCAAACATTTAAGGTACAAAGAAAGGTTGATATTTCATATTAGCTCATTAGATTATTCATGTGATCTTTTCTATTTTAAGATATAATTTTAAGATACAATTTCAAAATGCCGACATCAATGATATACATGTTGACTCACTATAAACAGTGATTTTGATAAGTTTGGAGACCAATGTCTTTCCTTGACCATTTGAAACTTCACATCTGTATTTTCCAGGCTCATGCTGCTCCTTAGAGATCTTTGGAATGTGCAACACCCTTCCATGATTGGCTCTTGGGATAAGAATTCCATCTTTACCGTTAATAATTTCTTTGTTCTTGCCATTTTCAAAGACTCTATACCATCTAGTTTGAGGAGCAGGGCTATCGATTGAAAATAAATATTAATGATCATTATGATGAATATCATGAATCATAATGAATATATCAGTAACATTAAATATGATTTATTTAAAGCAAAGATCCCGAAATTTCAGTAAAAATTCCGGTTAAAAACCCTGGGCTTATGCTCATTCGTAAAGGTTTCTTGATGGGCTTATAACCAGGCCAATTTTACATTGTACAGTATTCAAAGAAATCGTAAAATTAATGAGAAAATGCTTAGAACTGTTTTAAGTGTCGTACGCAAAGTATGCAACCTCCGAACACGCGTCGCAAAAATTGAAGTGAAGGTGMTAAGACTAAAAGATAGTCAGTAAACGTGCTAGTAATGTTTGTTTATATGAACCTTTGAAGGGCACTCAAACTAGAGAATTATATGAAAAAGCCGTAAAAGATTTGATGACGACTCACTTTCCACTTGCTACACAGTGAAGAAACTTCTCTTTTCCTTGAACTGCTGTTTCCATTTGCTTCGGTTCTCCACCGGGGGCAAATGTGGGAGAAAATGATGAGCTATCTAAGAAATGGGATTATAAAAGAGGACTTTTAATGGCAATTCCAAAAATAATGTCTGARGTTAAAAACAGATCTGTTGGTATATAACTACTAAAACCTATACTAACTTGATAAAGAAATGTTTGGTAAAAGTATCTTTAACTAACCCTGAAACAACTCACTTAAATCAGGGCATGGGCTAGCCCGTTGAAATAAGAATAAATTGTAATTAGAGTGCGTTCGTATCGTATCATGTTGTTGTATTGGTAAATGAGGGAGGGGGAGGGGGGAGCGATGAGATTTCCTAAGTAACCCCCTCTATTATCGAATTGGGAAGTTTTTCTGTACTGTTTTATTGTAAAAGTGCCCTGCGACTCGAATAGTTCTTTTGTTTGCTTCTCCTAAGGTTTCTCACATACATACCATTTCCTACAACTTTAAGGTTGTATATATGTGAATAGTAGATGGTGTCACGAGACGCCACAATGCACTGCAGTTGTAAATTGAAGGGATACGCACTGAACTTTTTTATATCTTCTTGGTCCACATATGTGAAAAATAAATCTCCATTGGGTAGTATAGCTAAGTTAGCTTTCATTTGAAGCTGCATTCCTATTTCTGGTCGCTTTATTCCCCAATGATGAATCACCCCAAAGTCACTATGACCTGCACCAGTGGTGTGCGCTGGACATGCAAGATACAACGGACGACCAACGGTGACATTCACAGTCTTTTCTACAGCCTTGTCTTCCACGAAAGGTGAAATTGCTGAAGCATAAAATAACATGCTTGCTGTCAATATCTTTACTCTGTACAGCAATGAACCCCAAATTAGTAGGAGATCAARTCCTAATAACYTGATAAATTAATATTACTATTATTATGGTATTGATAATAACCATACTAAATATACCGTCCAGTTCTCACCAGTTACTTTCAAACGAAACTTCCTTGAGATTGCTCCTCCAGCAGGATTGCTGACTAAGCACTGATACTTCCCGTCATCATTGGGGTTGAGTGAAGTAATAGTGAGATTAGAAGAACGCCCTGATGATTTTATTGTTTGATAAGGAGGAAAAGATAGGAAATCTTTATCGGATTTTTTCCACTTGAAGGTCATGGGCAACGAACCAGTCGCTTCGCARGAAAGRGTAAATATCTTGCCGGCCACCGCTTGGTCTGGATCGTCAAAATCCTTGGATGGAAAGATGATGGTGGGTGGGATGAGACCAGCTGAAAGAAGTAAGATAAATAAATAAAAATGAGTGAGAAAAATGGCATTCAGCAGTGTYATCTATAAAGAGTGGCTTTRCAAGCATCTCTACCCATATAAGTTGAGGTGGAATTGAACCTGGATCCCACGAGGCAAGTAATGGATGATAAAAAACATGGTGATGATGATGATTATCAACAACAAACGACAAACAACAAACGACAAACGACAAACAAACAAACAAACAAACAAACGACAAGGACAAACAGACAAACAAGCAAATAATTAAACAACAAACTCAAACAACAAGAGTTGGACGCGAGAAGCAAATTTGTAAACAGCCAGAACTGATGTAAATATCTTTAGAAAACATTAAGTCCAATTCGTGATACTTCAACGTTTCTCAAAGCTGACACAAGTACGTTCTTCAGACAGATCATTTTAGTTGAAGTAAATTCAAATTAGCCTTGTGTATTCAACGAAGAGAATTCGTACGAATATTTACTTGGTAAGCCTTTAAAATTTAATTTTATTCTGTAAAGAACGTGCGCGATGCGGGAAAAGACCATGCCTCATTTATCACCTTAAAAATGTTTGAATTTGAATTTTGATAAATTTTGATTTTTTTTTTCTTTTTATTATTATTTTTTCCTCGTCAATTTTAATGTTTATTACATCCATTTTGAAAGCACTACCAAATCCTGCAATCTGATTTGTTCCCTGCAGCAGTGATTTCAGCCTAAATTGCACGATTTTGAGCTCTAAATTGCACGATTTTGCACATCATCTGATATGAACCAATCACGAGAGAGACATGTCATATTCTAGCCAATTTTATTAAGGAATCCATTTGAGTGTTGAGCTCGCCGCTTCTTGCGAAAAAAAGAGCCACGGCTCAAAAAGAATTTTCTGAATAACGATTTTACCGTAAAACGTCGTAAAAAAAGACTTAAAAAGCCGTTAAAAGGACTTAAAAAGACCAACTGAACACTTAAAATTGTCAAAAGCATCTTTGTAAAGTAACTGATTAAGTATAAGTTGAAGATATTACAGCGAAAAGCAGTGGGGGGAAATGCAATCGGCATAGTAGTTTGAATGTGACTTTTTGGCAATTGATCGTGGAAAGTGGTTTCCTTTTCAATCTTTAAAGCATAAAACACATCGAAAATACAGTCATTAAAAGAAGTCTTTCTTAAGAAGAAGATTTTTGCTGAGCTACGTGACTTCTTAAGGACAACCGAAGGACTAAACAACCTTTGATTTTTGCTGTTTTCTCGGCACAAGTGTGATCTTAACATTTTGAACAGAAATCGTAAAATACAAGCAGTGAGCATTGGCTGTATGGACAACAGCCAGTTCATTACAACCCTTTTGGGCAGGATTGTCTTGCTATTTAATGTAAGTAAATGATTCTTAATACATGCAATGCCTTTTGGTCCTATATAAATTCATTTTAGTTTTGGATTGAAAGTGTTGATTTTCAAAATGAGAATCATTGCTCGATCAGTATAAACAAGTTCTCTTGACAGCATGTTTGAATCGACTGCTTGTAGATTGTAAGTCATATTGGTTTAACTGGAAAAAACGTCCTTTTCAAAAAAGATTTCGAAATGGATATAATAAATTGGTAATTGAACTTCGTGTCGTGCAGTTTTGGTCTGAAATCAAACTTGCAATTACAAATCGCACGGCTCCCGCTACGCGGTCGTGCGATTTTGTAATCGCGCGTTTGATTTCAGACCAAATTGCACTCCACTCAGTTCAATTACCATTATTAATCATGTTTGTACTGTATGTAAATTGTATGGAGAGGGAATATCAATTGGGACGAAAGTTCTGTTTTCTGCGCCAGTCACAAAATTTGTATGTCTCAAGTTTTATAAAATGTATATGTTTATATTGTGACAWATAAACTAAACTAAACTAAAATAAACCGTATCAGCACACTTCTCATATTTTGTATTTCACATGTGCAAAATTATTTAGCGCACGCTTATGACGTCCAGCTCAAGGTAAACATGACAAGCAAACTGTTTTGAAATCTATATTTATTTATTTAATATTTTTCTATATGTTTGGACTTTTCGTTTTCCCCAGCTGTTAAACCGACCACTGAGAAAGACGTTCCTAAGTAGAGGCTTGTTTTTTTTACTAAGGAATTTTTTACTAAACCATTGTCTGTACTTAGGTCCGTGCTYTCTAGTTTGACTACAGCTACAACCTTGGACTTGGCCTTGAACTAAGTACCTTGCAAAGTGAAGCCCATTCAGTGTGCGTAAGAGTTAGCTAAGTTATTCCATTCCTAATTTTCCAAATACAATTTGTGGCTAGACTAAGATCATTACGTCGGTTTAAAGTTGGTTAAGCACAGATGGTGTTGGTTTATGTTGTGGCTAAGAATGATGGTAAATCGTGATCATTAACGATATGTCAATTATTCTAGGAATAATGTAATGAATTTTTTATCCGTCAAAATTAACCAACGACTTGTTTGTTGACAAAAAATTACAAAGACTGGAATTTTGCTTCCTAAGTACTAACCATCCTTTGGGGGATATTAAAGAACCTTCTGGACTATTCAACTGTCTCTCGGTTGAACATTGTCACGAAAGGAATTTTTATGTGGAGGGACTATGCTCTTCCCCTTAGGATCCCTTCCAACACAATGATTCTTTGTTTTAGCTCCTTTATAGGTCTTCACGCTCTGCTGCGTGACTACAACTATCTGCAGCTCTCTTCCTGTAACTTAACTAATGATATACATGAAAAAATTATTGGCTTAGAGCAGCAGTTTTGTTAAAACGTAATAAAGTAAATGCAAAAAATAAAATTTGAAGCTCGAGGGGGGAAATGGCAGCCATTTTGTCTTAAGTAAGTAAGCACAGATTTTTCGGATTTTACTATTAAAGAGCTAAATAACAGTTTTAAAAAAGAAAACACAAGTAAAAGTGCATTATCATGGCTGAATGTATGGAAGAAATCAGAGTGAGAAGAAAAGAGACTACGTCATGAATTGAGGAAAATGAGCCAGCTGATCTGAAAAATAATCGAGCCATTCTTTGCCGAAGTAAAACAAAAACAAAAACAAAAAGACTATGAGCAAGACTATTAAACACGAAGTAGTAAGTACTTACACCATATTTATATCAAATGAAACTTGGATTCAACATTTGCTAGATCATGTAGTTATTTAGAAGTGCTAAAATGCTATACAACAGCCAATGGAAATTAAGAGAGGTTTCTTTGCTAAAGAGTTGGGCTGTCGGTAGATTACTGACAGCGCCTAGTTATTAATATTCAGCGAGGTTGTATTGGGGACAATGCAAGTACCCTGATAGCATAATCCCGAAAAACATTATATAACCATTATAGTATCACCGACCTTCCGGTTGCTCAACATGACTTCTTTTTAATTTAATTTAATTTTTTTTAACAGCATCAGTGATATTTGATTATCAGCTTGTTGCTTTCGATTCTATCCTGTCAAGTTTTTTCCCGGACTCTCTTTCGGTTTTGCGACTTCTTGCGAGCCACAAATACTTTTTCCTATACATTAACATTTGACTTTAGATTTGACATGCCATTTTCCTATTATTGAAAATTCTACTGCTCCGACATCTTTCTTCTCATACATTCGGCATTGAAGTTAGTAAAGTATTTTTTTTTTCCAACTCTTCCCCTCTACCGACAAAAATCCCCAGCCATATTTTACTGATTACAATAAAAGCCCTCGAGCAGTTAAGGGAATGCTTACCTGTTAATGTCCATGAGCAGACGATAACAAATAATGTTGAGAATGCCATCCTGAATAAGCCCTTGGAGAGGCACTGATTTTGAAAGAAAACGAATCGAAAATTATACGATAATACACCAAAACAAGATGACATTCTTACTTTTCTCAGATGCATGACAGCGAAATATCCGATTAGGAAGAAAGTCACATTAATGATTACAATATATAACAAAAGTAATGTTCAAAAGAATATTTCATTCCACAGATATTCAGTAGCCTCCTACACAGGAGGCTACAGGTATTAAAGGATTGAAAACGATTAATCACTGATAATACTGATGGTGAGGCAAGAAATTTCTTATTCGAAAACACCTTTTAGCAACTCGCAATACATGCGGGCAAAAGCAACTCAAGAAATCTCATTTGTGAGACAAACACAGACACAATAAAAAACTCGATAATAATATAATACTTACAAGGCAAAGCAATGTAGCAAAATCAGTTTTTCAACACGCGGAGGGAGCGAAGACGACAAATTCAAACCAAGAGCACATAAGAGGAATGGTGATCCAAGTGCGATCCAATGTGATAGCAATGTATCTGCTGCCTGGAGAAACTATATAATACAAGTATTGAATACCGAACGTTCAAACTTACGACCGTTGAAATACGAAGACAATTTCTAAATCACTAAAACTAAAGAGTGGGCTTATAATAAAGCAGGGTCTGGCGAATGACTACAGAGCACCCGCCACAACGATGGTCTGCGATGAAGTGAATTATGGTAACGACAAGTTCTTATATATTCTTGAACACTCACTAGTTAGACCGCTGAGAACAGGTATTAAACACAACGGACAAGATGCTATTGATGACACACAAAGCTTACCAAACCTGCACTAATCTCCAGGCCCTAATAAAAATATCTTTTTTTTCGCTAAAAAATTATCCTATCTTCCAGCAGATCGACGTACTTGATAATGAGATGCTCCTGAGATTGCAGGAGATATCAAAAACGCTAAAGGTCATTTGAAGTCAGTTACGTGCGTACGTGCAGAATAACAATCTAAACAGGTACTGAAACGCCTCTTCCGCAATCTTCCTGTAGGCAGAAAACGAGTGAACCGGATCTAAAGTGGTTAACATAACGCACTTATTATAGAAACAGAGTCTCTATGTGACTGTTACTAAAAGAGTGCGTTACTTTAACCTCCTCCCTCTTTTAATCATGTAGTTTACTTAGAGATACTAAAATGCCATACAACAGCCAACGGAAATTAAGAGAGATTTCTTTGCTAAAAAGTTGGGTTGTCAGTCGATTACTGACAGCGCCCAGTTATTAATATTCAGCGAGGTCAAGGACAATACGACCACCTTCCACAGCAGCTGATAGCATAATCCCAAAAAGTCTTCCGGGGTGGGGGGCAATAGGGCAAACCGAAACGTCAGGTTTTTTCATCTTTTCCACGGTGTATAATTTACCCTTTTATCATCACTGTTTCATTAGAAACACCGACGTAGCTCACACTAGCTATAGCTAGTTATCTCTTCCCAGAAAAACTATGGACTTTTGCGGTTATTGATACTGCTATTAGTGGTCGCGGAGTTAGTAGTTTTTTGTTGTTGTTTTTTTTTTTTTTAATCTAGAAAAACATTTCCTGAGCCTGTAAATTTATTAAAAATTTGGCAAAAACTTTTGTATTGCAAATCATATTTTTAAAAAACATTTTGGGCAAAAAAAGAAAAGATGTAACAAGTGTCATAGCGCTCTATATTAATTGCACATGTCAAACTACGACAGTAAGCACGTGACAGATTCATATTGAAAGTTTGTTCGTGGCCAGAAACTGAAATGCGGATGTAATTTTGTAATGATATTTATATTCTGAGACATAACGATTGCCTCATTACTAGCCATCATGGTACTCAACAAAGAAGTGGTAGTTTGTCTTCTTTACGCTTTATTTCTTGCACTTCAACTTCTCGGAATGATTCTCTATTGCATCCGAGCTGTTGAATGTTGCGTCCAAGAAAGAGTCTTGAGCTACCAGTGCAAAAACTTCACAGTTTTTTCCTACTCTCTTGAAATTGAGTTGACATGGCTCCTCTCTCATCTTTTGAACCTCGGGATATCTTTGCTTGTGATTTTCATAGGCCCTGAATTTCTTGGCTATGATAAGGTTTATCGCAAACTGATTCATCTTCCAAAGTTTTGGTTGTTTTATTGCCTCCTTGCAGTAGCAATCATCGACTTCATCTTGATCCTTGCTTTCTATGAGGAAAGCGGTCGTCTACAAGAAGCCGTTGTTGCAGCATTTCTCGCAGAAAACATGGTCACCGTTGTCGTCGTTGGTGTCTTCAACTTTACTCCCCTCAAAGAACTTGCAAGAAGGTTGGGAACTTTTCCTGGCGTATTAATCAAAGTTACTTTGGTTTTATTTTTTGTGACCAATTGCTCCATGTTCCTCATTGGAACAGTTCAGCTGTCATTCAAGGTCACAGGTTTGAACGACCGCTCGGCTTTCAACCTCTCAGACGATTTGAAGATTGTGTTTAGAGTGCTTCGGAATTTTGCCTACGTGGTCTTTTATCTTCGTGCTGCATCGTTCTTTTGGCAGAAGATTTTCCTTGACAAGCGTAATATATTAAGTCATCATCAGCTTCTACAGTCTTCGAGTCAGAGTCTTATAGCATACATCTAGTTGCAGACTTGGACAACTGACAAGTCTTCCTTTGCTTCCCATTGTGATGTCACGTAGAATCCTGCATCACTATAAGGCTGCGTTCATAATGTATGGCAGGGGGGGCAGGTGAAATTGAGGGGGGACCGGGAAAATTTTGGTAGGAAAAAGAGGGGATGGGCAAATTTTTATCAGAAAAAGGGGGGGGGGGGATACACAGTTTTTGGAAGAAGATGCAAGCCTTGCTTAGGGGGGATTGTATTTTTTTGCATGACTTTAAGGGGGGGGTGACATTTCAAATTTTCACCTGCCTCCCCCTCTGCCATACATTATGAACGCAGCCTAAGACTTCGTATTATTACTTAATATGTTAGTTGATTCAAAGAATTGGTTTTGAGAATTAGAATACTAATTATACAGCTTCTAATTAATCCCATATAGGTAACTTTCCAATTATTTTCTTAATTGGACAGGTCTTGTTGATATGGGATTAATTAGGCAGCTATATAATTAATAGGTAATGGGATTTCATCCTCCCCAATCAAGAAACAATTAGACTCGAAAAATTCCTCTGACTGCCAAATTGGACTCGACCTACGGCCTCATCCAATTTTGTCAGTCCTCGGAATTTTCCTCGTCCAATATGGAGTCCTATTACATATACAAATTATTCTTCTAGACACAAGATTATTAAATATATATTAGTATGAGTATAAGTAAATGGTAAATACTGTAAAGTAAACTGAATAACTTCAAAGAGAGTAGGAAAAGACATTTGATATAGACAGTTGATATAGACGTTTGAAAGTGAAATTATTGAATAAACGAAAATATTTTTTTTTAAGAAATAGAAATACCTATCATATGTCACCAGTTCAGTGTATTACAGCCAGTGTTTACATAAATATCCAATTGACTCCTGCAAGGTTGATCTATCTGTTTTTGCCAAAATAAGACCACATGAAAAACACTACTCACCAAATCTCACCATATAAATAAGACGAAAAACAATGACAACACACTTGAACACTAAAGTATACAACATTATCGTACAACATCAATTCAATAATGCCATCAAACAACACTACATAACACAACCACCACACGCAACATGTACCACACACATTATCACATAAACAACCACATCTACCACAAACATCAACAAACTCAATATTACCACATCCCAAAACATATCAACAAGCACAACGTTACCATAACCACAAAATACCACCACACACAACATTACCACATACAACTACACCACACCACACCACTATACAACACGCCAATAATCTAGAAACATCACCACAACCACAAAGCACCACTACACACACTACCACATACAACTACACCACACCACACCACACCACTATACAACACGCCAATAATCTACAAACATCACCACACAGAAACATCACCACAACCACAAAGCACCACTACACACATTACCACATACAACTACACCACATCACATCACTATACAACACACCAATAATCTACAAACATCACCACACAGAAATATCACCACAACCACAAAGCACCACTGCACACATTAGAGCAGTTTTCGCATGACTTTGAAAAGCTCAGTGTCGTAAGCGTGACGTGCCGTAACCGTGATGCTTTCTAGAATTTTAATTGGCTGATTTTTTCACGCGCAATATGATTGGTCTTGCATTGTCTTGACCTTGGCGTGACCGTATCCGCGCCGTGTTTATGCTATGTTCCGGGTATTTGATTGGATGGAGAGTAAATTCTCGTGCAATGTGATTGGTCTGGCGTATCCCTTGCTGTGTCACGACCGTGTTCGTGCCGTGAACTTTTCACGGTCATACGAAAACTGCACTACCACATACTACAAAACTTCTCCACTTTTCTTCTGATAGTAGTTTTTTAGTCTTATCTAATTGTTTTTATCTTTCCTGTTCTCTGTACCTGTCTTTGTACCTGTCTCTCAGTCTCTTTGTCTCTCTCTGTATCTGGTCTCTATATCTATCTATATGATCTCTAGCTTCTGTGTGTTCTTGTCCACAGTGTGGTTATATATAGAAATGGAGCAGGTGGTGCTGGATATCAAAAAAACAAACCCTAAATGTCATTAAAAAATGTCAATGAGAAAAAGCAATATATATTCATATCGATCTTCATTTTTTTCTCCACCTCAGGACATTTATACCATTGAATTCGTAAATTTTTTTTAAAAGTAAGCTGCATCTGTAAGCTTAGTTCTTGAATTTTGAAAAATCGTTAAATCTTCATATACTCCTTTCTAAAGTCATGATGAAGACAAACGAATCTTTTCTTTGTTTTAAAATTAAGCCAACTCCAAGGTTTTGAAGTGTATTAATAATAACCACCTATCTGGATGCAAGATTTTCGTCATATGCGAATCGATGCTTATCAAATGCAAGGGACCGTCGTCTCACTTACGATTTAATTTTACACCAATCAATCATTAACCTATATATTGCCAAGACATGAGCTTAGAAAGTACTTGAGATACACGGAAGACGATGATATGGTCTGGCAACCACAATATAAAGACATAAAAAGAGAAATTTATTCAGATTGATTTATATACAAGGGATAAATGGCAACCGAAGCAAAAAATCTTTCTGTTCAAGAGAAGTGTACACATCTAGAATTACGGAATGAATACAGCGGCAAAGTTGATAGCAACATTTATATCATCAATGCTGTTCTCAATATCGTATTCTGTGTCCCTACTTTCCTAATCAACTTGATTATGATTGTAGCAGTTTGGAGAGTGTCAGCACTTCGTATGCCATCTAACATCCTCATCTGTGCCTTGGCAACTACGAACTTTTTCGTTGGTGTCGCATCACAACCAGCATTTGCCATCAACAATCTAAGCATCGTTGTGTTGCACTCGGTTACGTGTGCTACTTCATACCTGAATGCAGCTTAGGCAAACCTATTTTGCTGCATGTCTCTTCTTATATTCACAGCAATCAGCGTCGACCAGCTCCTCATGATTCATCTTCATCTCAGATATAACACTCTGGTCACCAACAAAAGGACAACCTTTTTCTTGGCTGCCTTGCTTTTATTTTCTGGAGTTTTTACAGCATTAAACTTTTTCAACCAGGTAGTATACGTCATCTTGATTATGATGATCAACTGCACTTGTTTCATAACTACATTCATTTCCTACGCTAAAATCTACCGTACCGTGATACGACATCAACATGAAATCCACGACCAGGCGATGGCTGTTGCTACGAGTGGGAACAGTAGCAGCAACAACAACAACACGGTGCTAGAGTTGGCTCGTTTTAAGAAGCGTGCCTTTAACACGCTTTGCATCTATATCATCTTCCTGAGTTCTTATATCCCATATCTCTGTACTGTGGTACTATTACGTTTGCAAAGAGAGCGAGCAGTGTTAATTTTTGGGGTGAAGAACTTTGCTGTTACGATCATCTTCTTCAACTCGCTAGTCAATCCTTTGATGATATGTTGGAAGATGAGGGATATACGAAATGCCATGAAGCGACTAGTGAATTGTTTTGTGTGCAAAAAAACAGGACTGAAATAGAAAAGTGGCCAGAGAAGAGTCTAGCTGTTTAAAGACCTTTTCTTTTGGCCTTTCTTGGATTTTATTAAGTTCTTCCATTTTATATCTTAATTTTGCTGTTTTTCGGCATTTGCAATTACTCTCTAGAGCTAAAACGATTTACTTGGTCTTGTCGCCGGTTTGTCGGTGTCATATTAATTATTCTGATTATGATACCATTTAACAATGCTTTAGCAAAATATATCCAGTTCCAACCGCTCACAAAAACGAGAAAACTGATATTCCCAGTGACTTAACTTCAACTTGACCTGAAATAATTAGAGCTTTGGACAACTATTTCTGTCACGAAAAAAAATAAAATAAAATAAAAAATATGAATTTCCATGGATACGGATGCCAATTATTAATTAACCGTCAACTACTAGAGTATAATAACTATTTTAATAGTCAAATATATTCTGGTCTAAAAATTCATTAGACAAGCATATGAAAAGGTACATAAAAAAATTAGCGAGGAATTTTTTAAAAAACTAGTAAGGACAATTAGGTGTCATACAGAATTGAGAATACTCAGCAATTACTCGCATTATATGAAGGTTATTTACTTGAACACTAACTTTTCATTTTGAACGTGTGTTTTTGAAGTATACTTAGTTTTCCTTCAGTCTGTGTAGTTATAACTGGCTCAAAGATTTGACTACTTAATTATTCAACAATAGATAAAGTGATCTTTCAGCTGCAATTAATAGCGGTAGGGTGTTTCTCATTTCTTTTGTCAGAATAAGACAAATACTATTTCTCTCTTTTCTTAATGAATATTCAATCAGTAAAATCAGGCGTCTGGTACTGTTGGGTTTGCTGTAATGACATACATGAAAAAATTACTCAATTCTGGTTGGCTTAGAGCAGTGTTATTCAATCATAAGACAGTTCAAAAAAGCGTAATAGACCTTTCCCGAATTCGCTCGAGTAATCACAAAACAATGGTTTCAAGTCGAGGTTGAACTTGATGAATAAAAGGGTAAAGTTTTCAGTGTCGACTTCAAACCATTGTTTCGTGGTCATCCAAGCGAATTCGGAAAAGGTCTATTCAGTGCAGAAAACTGTAATACAGTGCAGAAAAGTGTAACGCAGTGCAAATTAAAAACGGAATTCTCCTTTTGATTGGATAATAAACAATAGAAAATAATTTCAGCCAATAAGATGATAGATTATTGTGATTAAACATTTGAGGAAAAATTTGAAGCAAAATGATAGCCATATAAATGGCAGCCATTTTATCTTAGGTGAAAGTAAGCAAAGATTTTACGGATTTTACTATCAAACAACTTAAAACATACACTTAACATATATAACTTAAAAACAGTTCAAAAAAGAAAACACAAGTACATTGTTATGGTTGAATACATGGAAGAAACCGTGGGAAGAAAACAAACTATGACATAAACTGAAGGAGATGAGCCAGCGGATCTAAAGAAAATACTCGAGCGAGTATTTGCCAAAGAGTAAAGCAAATACTAAAACAGTAACGAAAAAGACTATGAAAAGACCATTAAACACGATGAGGTAAGTGCTTTACACAATATTTTGGCCTACGAGATCCCAAAACTGAGCCGCAAAGTTTTCTGAACACGTTCAACAATTGTCAGGTATAATTTTTTTCACTATACAACTCCAGTTATAGCTGCAAAGTCAGTCAATTTTATAACGATTCAGATTTACCTAACTGCAAAAAATAAATAAAATAAAATAAAAAATAAAACTTTTTACAATAAACATATAGCCAAATTTTATAATACTAATAGAATATAGTTGGTTGTGAACGAACGAATTTCAATAGTAATATTAAGCTTATGCGTTGAATATTTCACATATTTTCGTCTCTTTCTTTTGAAGTTTTTTCATACGTATTATTACTAAGCAAGAGAATATTAAGTAACTTCATATTCTCTTGTACTAAGTAATCATACGGTTTCTCGTTCAATTTGGGATAGTTTGCATGCACTCGTGTGTTTTTCAAAGAGGTGAAATTGTACCAGTCAACCTACGGTCTCGTGCAATTTCAACTTTGAAAAACAAACTCGTGCGAATTAATCCCAAATTGAACTAGAAAACTTCAATTCAAATAAGCATTGAAGGAATATGCGAATGAGAGCCATGCACTTTAAATATCATAAAAAGTCGAGGACATTTGTGTATTTTTTACGTATTTATTCTGTAATTGTAAATAATGAATAGATATTTGTCGTCAACCTATCCTGTTTCATTTTAGGTTTCTTCATTTATGAAGCTCTTGGCATACACTGAAAAAGCAAGACTTATTATTAGCATATACTTAATTATAAATGGTTTTAGAATGGAAAGAAGGCAATGAGGTTTACTGTTTTTTGCTGTTGCTGTTGCTGTTGCTGTTGCTGTTG